AGCTATTCGGAGGCTAAGGACGCCACTGCACTCCAGCCTGGGCAACAGAGTGAGACTCCGTCTCAAAAAAAAAAAAAAAAAATTAACCCAGCAAGGTGGCATTAATCTGTAATACCAATTACTGGGGAGGCCAAGGAAGGAGGGGAGGATCACTTCAGCCCAGGAGTTCAAGGCTGCAGTGAGCAATGATCGCGCCATCGCACTTCATCCTGGGCGACAGAGCAAGACTCTGTCTCTAAAAACAAGCAAATGAGCTCTCGGACAAAAAGCTCCCAGCAGCACCGTTCCTGATGCAATTGATGCTTACTGAGTAGGATCTTGACAAGCACCCTTTCCACAAGTTGGGGAGAGAGAGTGGGTTGCAGGAGGGGGGCATGGGGGCTGTGGTGAGCTAACGCTGGAGATCCTCACCTCTCTGCTGGCTTGCCTGACACCAGCGCCTTCTGCGAGGACATGATGATGGAAGGGGGCACAGATTCCCGACGGCCATCACGAGTGCAATAGTAATTATTGGAGAGCTTGTGGTTAGGACCCACAGGGAGCTTGGGAGGAGGCTGAGTTCTGAGGGGAAAAAACAGCAGCATTGAAGCAAAGGGACAGTCACTGTCATGGCCCTGCTGTGGGTCTCTGTCACCTCGGTCACAAAATGTAGGATCTACAGCCAGCCACTGGGATAGGCCACAGGCTGGGGGTGTCCCTTGGTACACTGGCAGGGACATATGCCTGGGGAGGGGTCCTGGGGCCAGAAGCAGATGGCAGCCCCTGCTCTGGATGTGACGATGCCAGGGACCCCACCAGTCCCGAATGTGATGGGTACAGAGGACCTTTTCTGAGGTTCCCAAGGCCCAGGACATGTTCCCACGCCCCCCACCCCACGGCTGAGCTTGGCAGCCAGCCTCACCTGATTTAGCCCACTCTGAGTGGCTTTTTCCCCTAAGGCCAAGCTCTGGACGCCCTGCGTTTCCTGTTATCTCAGGAAGTCTCTGAAGAACCCTGCTAGGATCAAGGCCCATTACTCAAAGAACACCTTGGCCTTGGAACCTGTCCAGATCTCTGCATTTCCTGCCACCACGTGGCCAGGCAACTCCTCTCTGGAGACCAGAGAGGGGTGAACAGAGTTCGGTCTTGGCTTGAACTAAACCCTGGGCTGGATTTACCTGGAAGCCTGAGGCCTTAAAAGAAATGTTCAAAACAAGGATGGGCACGGTGGCTCATGCCTGTAATCCCAGCACTTTGGGAGGCCAAGGTGGGTGGATCACTTGAGGTCAGGAGTTCGAAACCAGCCTGGCCAACATTGCAAACCCATCTCTACTAAAATACAAAAATTAGCCAAGCATGGTGGTAGCAGGCAGAGGTTGCAGTGAGCTGAGATCACACCACTACACTCCAGCCTGGGCAACAGAGTAAGACTCCATCTCAAAAAAAAAAAAAAAAAAAAAGCTCAAAAGAGGGGCTTTCCAGAGAAAGGGGGCAGAGAAGAGCAAAAACCGTAAATTGATCTGTTTCTACTTAGCCATGTTTCTAAATTACTTTTTTTGTCTGGGAATTGTTTTGCCAGAATTAAATTTTTTTCTGAGGCAGTGATCATACGCACTGCAGCCTGGATGATATATGCAATCATATGATCGCTTGAGGCGTGATCATAGCTCAGTGCAGCCTCAATCTCCTGGGCTCAAGCAATGCTCCCACCTCAGCCTCTCAAGCAGCTGGAACTACAGGTGCACACCACCACATCCAGCTTGTTTTTCTCAAGTAGCTGGAACTACAAGTACACACTACCACATCTAGCTAATTTTTCTATTGTTTTTGTGGAGTCGGGGGTCTTGCTATGTTGCTCAGGTTGATGTCGAATTCCTGGCCTTAAGTTATCCTCTCTCATCTTGGCCTCCCAAAGTGCTGGGATTACAGGCGTGAGCCACCACTCATTGTATTTTTTAAAAATAAGAAACATTGGCCGGGCGCGGTGGCTCAAGCCTGTAATCCCAGCACTTTGGGAGGCCGAGACGGGCGGATCATGAGGTCAGGAGATCGAGACCATCCTGG